TGATTAATTCCCTTTCACGAATAGAATTTTCCCGTCTCTTCTTTTTCTGTAGGAGCTCCCAGTCGGAAGAGGTAGATATGCCTCGGAGAATTGAAGCTCAGACTAGGGTTAATGTTGAAGTAGAGCTTCTATGGAGGACTTTTGCTGAGGAATACAGTGTGAGTTGGCCGAAAGTAAATCCGCAGATTGTGACGAGCGTGGAGATATTACAAGGAGATGGTGGCCTTGGCTCTCTCATCTTCCTGCAATTCAAACCTGGTATGATCTAATTAAAACTGTTTCTAATTTCCAGTCTGTAATTATTCGAGTGCTGAATTTTATGGTCATGGTATGAGGTTAGAGGGACTTTGCTGATAATAGCTGATGAGAGGGAAAATGTTTAAGCAGGTGGACCGACAGTAGCATATCAGAAGACAAAGATAGTGGAGTGTGACAAGGAGAAGCACCAGCTGGGTTTGCAAGTATTGGAAGGTGGTCATCTAAGCAAAGATAGTGGAGTGTGACAAGGAGAAGCACCAGCTGGGTTTGCAAGTATTGGAAGGTGGTCATCTAAGCAACGGTTTTACCAAGTATGAAACTTACTTCAAGCTAACACCCCTGGATGATTCCAACACGTTGGTGGATGTAGCTGTAGAATGCGAGCCTTTGATGTCATCAGAAGAAGAAGAAAACGAAGAAGAGCTGAAGGCCAAGACAACAAATTTCCCACTCCTCTTCTTTGAAAGATTGGAGGCCTATCTAACGAAGCACGCAGCAGCGGGTTGAGTCGTGGACAAATTTACTTCACACTTGTTTGTGCCTATATGCTGGGACTGGGTGTAATATTGTATTATTGGAGCCAATAATGGTCTTCTTCTTCTAGTCTCTCTGGAGTTTAGTTCGTGATAAACTGTCTTGTTGCCCGCATAATTATGTTTTTACTGGATTAGTTGGGTGTATAGCTACATACAATACGGTGAGCTGAAGAAGTACATAGTGTAGGCTGTATAATTGAATATCCTTTATTAATTGTATGTATAGCTAATTAAGTTGTATTCTTTGTTCGGT